CCCCAGTACAGCCAAGTGCAGACCATCTCAGACACCTGCACTCAGGCCCATGGTCCTAATCATCCTCTATGCAAACCTGCTGGGTAACGCCACAAGGAACCCAAGAAGGGCTCCCACAGGACATACATTAACATCCCACAGCAGCCGTCCTACCTTGAAATTTCTTCCATGGAGCAGCTGTGCCTGTTACTTTATTTTTTCGAGACAGGGTTTCTCTGTGTAGCCCAGGCTGTCCTGGATCTCGCTCTGTAGCCCAGGCTGGCCTCGAACTCACAAAGATCCCCCTGGCTCTGCCTCCCAAAGGCTGGGGTTAAAGCCGTGCGCCCACTGTGCCCAGCTGTGTCTGTTCTTTTGAGTTCAGCCTCACTCCAGTGTTCAGCAAACAGACAGGAGAATCTAGAGTTTTTGCCAAAGCAGCGTAAGCGGTCTTAGGCCGGCCATGTTCCCGCTGGGGAGCTCATGGCTTCCACTGGCACGTTTCTCTTCACACTCTGCCCTTCTGGATTCCCACAAGAATGGCCATGAAGCTCTGCTAGGAGCTAGAGTCTGGAGCTTCTAGCTCATAGTTCCAAACTCTTTCACATTCCTCACAGACACGTGGACCACGTGGTCAGATCTGTCCAGCCAGTGGCACGTGTGGACCATGTGGTCGGGTCTGTCCAGCAAGTGGCACTTGTGGACCACGTGGTCAGGTCTGTCCAGCCAGTGGCACGTGTGGACCACGTGGTCAGGTCTGTCCGGCCAGTGGCACGTGTGGACCACATCGTCAGGTCTGTCTGGCCAGTGGCACGTGTGGACCACGTGGTTGGGTCTGTCCGGCCAGTGGCACTTGTGGACCACGTGGTCAGGTCTGTCCGGCCAGTGGCACGTGTGGACCACGTGGTCAGGTCTGTCCAGCCAGTGGCACTTGTGGACCACGTGGTCAGGTCTGTCCGGCCAGTGGCATGTGTGGACCACGTGGTCGGGTCTGTCCGGCCAGTGTCACTTGTGGACCACGTGGTCGGGTCTGTCCAGCCAGTGGCACGTGTGGACCACGTAGTCGGGTCTGTCCGGCCAGTGGCACGTGTGGACCACGTAGTCGGGTCTGTCCGGCCAGTGGCACGTGTGGACCACGTGGTCAGGTCTGTCCAGCCAGTGGCACGTGTGGACCACGTGGTCAGGTCTGTCCAGCCAGTGGCACGTGTGGACCACGTGGTCAGGTCTGTCCAGCCAGTGGTTCTTTTCAGCACTAGTTTTCTGTATTGGTCACTCACTTGTTGCTGTGACCAAACCTCCAGCCACAAACATCTTAAGGATGTCTGCAGTTGGTGGTGATTTGAGGGCACATCTACCATGGCGAGGGGAACAGGAGGTGGCTGGACATGGAGTGAGACCTGGATTCAACAGGTGGATACTGGTGCTTGGCTGGCATCCTTTTCCTTTCGCTTCTTCCTGGACCCCACCCCACGCAGCTTGGGCTTTCTCTTGTGAACGCCATGTGTGAGGTGTGTCTCCTGGGGTGACAGTGTGGACGGGCAGTGCTGGGCCCCACGGCAGTGCATGTCCTCAGCTGTGTCTTCAGGTTGGCCCCAAGTCCACGTTCACACTAGCAGCTGAGTCCATGGGCCAGTAGCCTGGACTTGCCCTGCCCTCTGGCTGGAGGCTCTGTCTGTCTGTCTGTCTGTCTGTCTGTCTGTCTGGCACCTGTGTGCTTAGCTTGCTGCTCACGGGGAGCAGCGCAGATGCCCTGGGTGCAGGGCCTGAGGTGCAGGAGGCAGGCGCTCATGGTGTCAGGGAAGGACAGCCACAGGCTAGTTGGTGGGGCACCGGTGGGGACGAGGGGTCGTAGGTGAGGTCCAAAGCGTGCCTGTGGTCCATACAGGTGCGCACAAGGTCGGTAGGCGAGTGTGTGGAGTACTACTACCTGTGGAAGAAATCTGAGCGCTACGACTACTTTGCCCAGCAGACGCGGCTGGGCCGGAGGAAGTTCGTCTCCTCTGGAACCACGTGCGTGCTCTTGCTAGTCATCTGGCCAGGGTGGGAGGGGGGTGGGGCGACCCCTCTCGCTGGGGTCCCGTCTCCCTGACAGCCCTCTCTCCACAGGGATGCTGAGCAGGACCTGGATGGCCTTGACCCCGATGGTGCTGCCCGGTTGTGCCCTGAGCAGGAGTCTGAGGCAGGGGTGCCCATGGGTGAGTGCACCTGAGGCGGGGCTGTGGGGGGGGACGGGGAACCCGAAGCCTGCAGCAGTCTGCACAGTGAGCACTGAGCCTGCTTGGTCCCCCCGATGCCAGCCCTGCCCGCCCTGTGACACAGAGGGACAGCAGTGCGTTCACGCAGGGGACGTGAGCAAGTCCTCTCCACTTCCTGCTCCTGTTTGTTGGCAGAGGCCGCAGTGGCCTGGCATCGTGTCTGCATGGTTCCCGCTGTTGTGCCATGTGGTACTTGGGGGTCTGCAGAACCGTCCAGTGCTCACGCTTCCCAGCAGAGTCCTGGTGTTTCGTCTCTGGGTCCTCTGATGCCTGGCTACAGAGTTGTGGACATGGTCTGCTCCTGACCTGTCTGTGTGGCTGGGCCGGCTAAGGAGACCCCGCGTGAATGAGACCTGAGAGGGGCATGTGGGGCTGTCGGGACCGAGCCTCTGCTCACGCGGGCTGCCCTGTTCTCCCTTCAGAGCCGCCGAGTGTGGATGTCGCAGCTGGTGGACTCGATCAGCCCGGAGTGGGCTCGGATGATCTCCCATCCTCGGAGCCAGGACCGTGTCTGTTGCAGCCGCTGGATGAGCCGCCTGCTGTGGCCTCGCTCCAGCAGCCCAGCAGCCTGTCAGCCCTGGCTGAACTCCCTGCGGCTGCCGCTGCGGCTGCGGCTGCTCCTGCTCCGGAGCTGGACGCCAGCTCCAGGCTGGCTGTGGACCTCGCCCTACCTGAGGAGCTGCCCCTGGTGTCCAGCCCCGTGGATTTGAGCGAGGACACTGCAGAGCCCATGGCTCCTGCACAGATGGCCTTGTCGGTCACTGAATTTGGACTCATTGGCATCGGGGATGTGGACCCCTTCCTGACTGGCCACCCGGCATGCCCAGCCTCCACACTGCGCTCGGAGCCCTTGTCACAGTGAGTGCCACCCTGAGCACCTTCCGCAGTGGCCAGGGCCCAGGGCCACAGCTGCCTCCACTGGGCTGCGGCCCTGTTTGTGCCTCCGCCGTGGCTCCTGTAGTTTTCGGCTCAGCAGCACATTCACGCTGTTCACAAAGCTGTAAGGGTGCAGGCGCCAGGCTTCTCCTCACTGTGCACCAGTCTGTCCAGGCAGAAACCAGAGCCGCGTTGTGGGTGGGGGCAGTGGGTGGAGATGGGCAAGGCCTGGGGTGCTTGGCCACTGACCCTTGCTTTGGTTTCCCGTAGGTGCAATGTGATGACCTGTTGACCCCTGGTCATCTGTGGGCATGTGTGCTCAGAATGGACACGGCAGCACCGCCAGGCCTGCCCGTCAGTCTTCCTGACCCCTCCCATGCAGGCCTGCGTGGTGCCTCCTCTGCTTCAGAACATGATGGGACTCAGTGAAGTGGCCAGGGCCACACAGACCCCAGACCTCAGCATCCAGCAGCACCACAGCCCCAGGCTGCCACCGTGCCATGGAGCCAGCCTGGCAGCTGGGCCCAAAGAGGGCCCGTCCCAACATGGAGCCAGGCACTGGCCCCCGAGCCAGCGGAGGCTGGGCAGGCAGTGCTCCCTGGGGCTGTGGGCAGGACTCCTCCCGCACCAGCAGCCTCTGCCCGGGCACTCTCCACAGGCCAGCTCTCCCCCACCGCAGCGGAGTTGTGGCCGCCAGCCTCTGCTCAGCGTGGGACCTTGGGGCACAGAGCCATATACCTCGCCCTGTGGCCGCCCTTTCTCGGCCCTTCGCCGTCTCCACTTCAGGAAAAGCCGCACTTTAAACCCCAACTGCCTCCTGCCCGCACCCCCACCCTGGGCCGAGGTGGGGCCTCAGCAGCCTCGGTGGGTGAGGAGCAGGTGGTCTGTTCCCTTCCTGCCTCTCTCCTTGGGGCATCTTGGGGCACAGCTCTGGAAGCACCACCCTGCCACCCCCCTGTCCTGAGGGTCTCATTTCTTTGGAGGCTCCCAGCAGGATGGCTGGGTCCGTCTTGTCCTCGGTCTCCCTCATTTTATTTATGTTGGTGTTTACAGTTCGGAGTGGGGTCCCTGGGCAGGCAGCTCCGCCCGGTGTTGGCAGAGCGGTGCTGTGTGAGCCTCTGCGGCTGGACTCGACCGTCCCTCGCCCCACCGAGGCCACTGTGACGCGAGACTGCCTTTGCCCAATGCTATTTTATTTATTAAACTTGATTTGAAGCCCGGGGTGTCTCATGGTGGCTTGACAGGAGCTGGGGGACCTACATTGCCCTTGTCACCCCTGGGGACCCTGGGCAGGAGTCTGACTGCACAGCTGAGCGCAGCCGAGAGGCACGAGGCCACTAGATCATACAGGGCCCCATGGCATCGGGCACAGGCAGGCTGGGAGTTGCGGATAAAGCTCAAACATGGAGTATCAGTCGACCTTGCCTGGAGCCAGGGGCAGAGGAGACACTTAGGTCAGAGAGCCACCACCCGGCTGGTGGACGGGTATTCGGTGTTTGTTGGGAAGGGTGTTCTGTGTGGTCACCATTGGAAACGTACCTCGCGTCACTTCCTTGGGTATTGCAGACAGGCTGGGCAGGGATAGGGTGACTGGACAGTGGGGCCCAAGGCAGAGGAAGGAAGAAGGTCTGGGAGAAATGAGGGACAGCGTGGGATCTGAGAATCCCCATGCTGTGGGCAGGCTTTTCTTTTGTGTGGGCAGTGGGTCTGTCCCCGTCCACCCCTCTGTTCAGATGGCTCCCATTCACCCAGCACTGAGGTGGCCGGCATCTTCCTAATAGTCCAGGTCCATCCACAGTCCTGAATCCTTATTTTAATTTTTTCTGCTAAAACTGTCTTTGTTGTGTCTGCTGTCTTTATAGTCTGTAGTAGTTACTGATGTATTACTTTATGTGTTGGTGTTTCTGTTCTGTTTATATACAGGGTCTTGGTATGTAGTCTAAGATGGCTCAGAGTCTCTCTGTAGACCAGATTGGTCTGAAACCTGCCATTCTCCTGCCTGGGAGGAGGAGAGGAGGAGGGAGAGGAGTGTGTGTGTGTGTGTGTGTGTGTGTGTGTGTGTGTGTGTGTGTGTGTGTCTGTCCATCTGTCCGTCCCAAGGCCTTTTGCATGACAAGTTCTATACCATGGACATATTTCCTGTCCTGCTCTTCTGTTATTTATCTGTATGTATATGTCAGTGGCTGCATGCCTGTCCCGAGAGGTCAGAGAACAACTTGGGGGAGTTGGTTCTCTCCCATCGTGGGGGTCCTTGGTGGTCAGGTCCTCAGGCTTGACAGTGTGCAAGCTGCTGAGCCAGCTCTGGCCCTGCTTTTATTTCGTTTTTAGCCTAGACTGGCCCCAAACTCACTGAGTAGCCCAGGCTGGCCTTGAGTTTCTGCTAATCCCCCTTTCTCAGTTTCCTGAGTGCTGGGATTATAGGCCTGAGGCACCATGGCCGACACACCTGTGTGTTTCAGACAGGCCACCCCATGCTGGTTTGGGGACGGAAGGCTGTGTTCGCTTTCCCGTCCCCTCGGCTCACTCAGGCAGCCTTGCTTCCTGTCTGGCTTTCTGAGGACTCCAGTCTCTTTTTCCCCCCCTTAAATTAATTTTTCTC